TCGTAGGAAGCAAGTTCGGAAATATAGGTTTTTGGAATGCCGATGCAAAAGTGGATGGAGAGGGAATTTATGTTTACCAACCTCATTCTGGTCCAGTATCAGGGATAGTGATTGAACCATTTACAAAGTCAAAGGTGGGATCTATGCACAGACACACACACATGTGTGTATGTGTATTTGCATTGTGATTAAGAATTTATGATTTTCAAAATGTAGGCTTGTTAGCTTGTACGCACTCATCAGAAACACCATCAATGCTTGATTAGTGAAAGATATTGGAGATAATAGTTGGCCGTTTCTATTTCCATATATTAATAAGAAGTGCTTATTGAACATTTCTAAAATATTAGTTGATTCTGCTTTACATTAAAACTTTCATGGCTTAAGGTATTGGTTTGATTTGTGATTGCACCTTGTCTACAGATGATTACATCTTGTTATGATGGGTTTATCAAGTTGATGGACATTGAGAAGGAGTTATTTGATTCCATATATTCAAGCGACTACCCTATATATGCTATATGTCAAAGTCCAGGCAATATGAATTCAATATATTACACGGAAGGGAGAGGTGATCTTGGAATATGGGATTTGAGAGCTGGAAAGTCATCATCATCCTGGAATTTACATGGAGAGAGGATCAACTCTATAGATTTTAACTCCGAGAATACTAATAATATGGCTACAAGCTCTACTGACAAAACTGTCTGTATCTGGGATATGAGAAATGCTGGCTCCAAGAAACTAAAACCATTGAGAACTATTCACCATAAAAAATCTGTGCATTCTGCTTACTTTTCACGATCTGGCCGACTTCTTGCGTCAACAAGGTGATTTATTCTAGTCTCATAGATTGTGGCTGTTGCCAATAGAAATGAAATCCTGACCTCTGAAAGTGCTTTTTTATTGCCAGTTTCATTATTGTCATTCAGATTTTAGGTATTGGACTAGTGGACTTTTCTAGAAATGAGGTTTTCTTGAAATGGTTAACTTTACTCACACTGCTAGCTTGAATATATTTAAGCCAAAAGGAAGCTCCATTGGGGTAATTCAATAGTCCTGTTCTATGTTTTTTTTAAACCCGAAAGTCACCTATTGAGGTGTGGTAAGTGTTGGGGAACACTTGCCTAATTTGTTACATAAAGTTGAATTATAGTCCTGTTCTATGTATATCTTGAGATTTGCAACGGACAAAGAAGCCATAACACATGTCATATAATTTGTTTAAGGCAAGCAATGAATAATTGGTATGTGTATGGTCTTGTAAGGTTATAGAGCTCATCGAGTCGTAGTTACTTGATCACTGAACCTGTATACTTTAGTGCCTGTGCTGTATCACTACTTATACTTGGCTATTTTCCATTGTTTGGGCAGTTTTGATGACAAAATAGGCTTGTCAAGTGGAGCTAATTATGAAGATGTATATATGATTCATCACGATAATCAAACAGGCAGATGGATTTCCTCATTCAGGCAAGTTTATTCTCAATCTTCATTAGTGTGTTCCTGGACAAATAATGACGTTGCACTAGCAACTAAGGATGTTTTTACTTGGACTGTAATTTGTCCCAGACCAGACCAGATCAGATCAGACCAGAACAGACCAGACCAGACTTGGGTAGTTATAAAAAGACAAAGAAACCAGACCAGACCAGACCAGTTCAGACCAGACCAGACCAGCAAATTACAGTCCAAGTAAAAACATCCTAACTATTACACACGGACTTTTGAGCTACATATGAATCACATGGTCATGAATCCAATAAAAATAATTTAACAGGAATAGTGATTTTATTTATTTATTTATTTATTTATTTTGTACATGTAAAGTTAAAAGTGATCAATTAAGTTACCCAACAAGATAAAAATATAAAACGAACACTTTTTTTCCACTGAATTACTTTTTCTTTCGCCCCAATATTCCATCACTCAGCCTTTTTCTATCTTCGTGGTCACAGAACAGTATCTGTTGCCCCCTCCCTATGTAAGGTTCACATAGGAGACACGCAAGTTGTAATGGTCTTGATTATCTAATAGTTTAAACAAAAATTGATAGGGTCAGTAGTACAAAATGAAACTTTATGCATGTGTCTGATTGAGCTGTATCCGAAGCCAACTTGAATTATGGTTGGCATTATTCTTTTTTTCTGTCTGAAAGATTTGTGCGCGTTTGATAAAGCAGAGGTATATGGGGCTGGGATGATTCCTATATATTCATTGGAAACATGCGAAGGGGACTCGACGTCGTTTCAACAGGAGAAAAACAAATTCTTACGACATTACGGAATAAGCATATGTCTGCTATACAGTGCCGCTTTGATGCACACCCCTACAACGTTGGGATGCTTGCAGGCGCTACTAGTGGGGGTCAGGTGTATCTTTGGACATCTTAGCTAGCACAACATTGCATGCTTCTGAGTTCTCATCTTGAGATTTGCTTGAAATGATTGTCTTACCAAACTACTGCCGAGCTGCTAAAATTTCATGTTTTATAGAATATCTGTAATGCTGTAATATTATGTATCACTAGATATCCTTAAACTGGTCTCAAGACTATCAAATTTTACCTTTGGTTGTAATCGTTAGTACGTGGAACCAAAATCTAGTGGAATTGGTTTACATTGCACATAGCTCGGGTGGACTCAGTTCCAGTTTCACACCAGTACTAGGCGTATAAAAACCAAATTGGACACCCAATTTTCAGTTATGGATGGGAACTCGTAGGCTCGTAGCCAGTACTGATTTGATTAGTTTCGCGTTCTCAAAATTATGGCTTTACCCGATGGGTTCCGTGAATCTGCGTTTAGTTTTGTTCTTTAAATAATCATAATCAGTAATTTATATATGCTATATTGCTATTCAAACACTTCATCTCACATATCATTCTGTTTGTCCATTTGATCATTAGAGAGCATCTATCATATGCACTTGAAAGTTGACAAGAGATTTTGTAATTGTTTTCTCTCATTCACTTTTTATCATCAAACCTGAATCATAAAAAAAGAAATGAAACACATTTGTTTTTTGTTGATAATTTGTCAGTAGATTTCTCAACATATATTAATATATAACCTTTGCTCTGAACTAAGTTGACTCAATGAGAATTATAAACAAATTTTTAAAAAAAATTAGGAAATCAAAGCATTGAGAAATTTGATAAATGTGGCCATTATATGGCTTCCTCTCACTTTCTCTCTCGTTATGTTAACATTTGGACTTTCTATCAATGATTTCCTTGAGCTAGGGTGTAAGAGGTTGCAGATTGATTGCATATCTATATCTAATTAAACCAACTAAGTATTCTGCCTAAACATAGACTGGACATTTTCATAGCTCCAACTCTACCTTTATTTATATTAGTATAATACTCCCTCCGTCCCAAAATGGTTGGCCAAATTTCCTTTTGTGGCCGTCCCAAAAAGGTTGGTCATTTCCATTTAAAGTAAGGAATATGTGGCTAAAGTTAATTCTTTCTATCTGCATAAATTTCAGTCACACAATTTTTACTTTATTAATCCACGTGCAAGTCAACATTGGCCAACCATTTTGGGACGGAGGGAGTACCTTTCTTTGTGATATACATGAAATAGAAACAACAAACCATATACTCCTAACATAGCAAATTATAAACATAGCAAATTAGTTTTCTTAAAAAGATCAAACATATTAATAACATCAAACATAAAAAATCATAATATATCTAACATCAAACATTACATTTCTAGTCAAGAAGTTAATGACAGAGAGAGATATTTAATTAGTAATACTTAATGATTAGTGAATAAAATAACATATTTTGATTATTTCGGACTAGGGGTGGACAAATCGATTTGGTTTAAGTGTTCAACCCAATCTAACCGTACTTGACCGAAGTAAACAAAATCGAGCCAAATAAAATTTACCCGAATTACATTGTTCAATAAATTCTTAATATATTTTAAAAAATTAACAAATCTAAACCGTACCGAACAAACTCCAAGTGAACCAAACCGAAACATAATACTCCCTCCGTCCCAATTTATTTTGCAAAGTCAACATTTTTTGGTCAACCAATAATAAAAGTCAACCCTCCTTATGTATAATTAATTCAATTTTTAATAAATAAAATTTACATATTCATAAACTACATCAAAATCTCTTTAAAGTTGTAAACTCCAAATTAGAATATAATTAAAAATTAGCATCATAATTAAGTGAACAAAACGTAATTGTTTGACCAAGAAAAATCAAATTTGCATATCATTTCGGGACGGAGGTAGTATGATTTTTCTTTAGTAATTATTCTTTCGTTTCAAATCGAACCAAAACTGATATGTCCACCCGTAGTTTGGAGTTTGGACCGTTAGATTTGGTTCGATTATTAGAACTGAAAACCACAACTGAACAAGCACGGTTCAATTTCCTCTCGGTTCAGTTTTTGTAAATTCATTTTCATTTTCAGGTTTTACCGACTTACCCTTGAATGTGTACATTTTTTATAAAATTCAACTCACATACCTATTTGAGATGCTCTGAATTTTGTAAAGTTGTGCATCTTCAACATGGATGAATTATATATTCGAGCATATGGTATACTCCCTCCATCCCGAATTGAAATTGCAAATTTTGACCGGCACAAAGATTAAGGAATGACAATAAATGATGCTTGCTTTTGACATTTTTTGTCCATCATCCTAAAAATAAATGCCTTTAAGTTGATGGAAAAAAGTAAAAGTAATGGTAAATTTGTCACTTTATTCTTATTTACATACCTAAAATAGAAAGTGGAAAATTATTTTGAGACAACCAAATTAGGAAATTTTGCAAAACAAATTGGAATGGAGGGAGTAGTAGACAACATGAAGGATATTGTTTTAGTTTGAGATGATTGAAAACTAAAAATATAAACATAGAGATCAATTTATATGCATGGACGTGATGCTAATGTTTATTTGTAGATCTCACATGCGATTTCGAAAGGAAAAGATGTCTACTTTAAAAAAGTGAAAAGTACATAAAAATAGAAAAAATTAATTGACATTATAAAAGTGAACGTGCATTCCATATATTTCAATGGTTGAGAAAATGTACCCGATTTAAATTAGTGTTACAGCTTAATAATCTGAAGTGGGGAAAAGCACAAATTTGATCAATTTATACTATAATGATACAATTGATTACGGGGATTGTCACCTTAATCACCGTTGATTTGGATTAATGGGGAATCTGGGTATGGAACTAGTAGAAGTGGTGTATTGTCCCGAATACTCACTAGTCAAAGTCGTAGAGTTCAAATGAAGCGTATAAAGGTCTCCGGATGATGAAGACCTATCTTGATCATCCATTTGACCAACAAAAATGACATCATCTCGTGGAGTTCGCAATCCACGGTTCCACGTCTCCTTATTGAACTTTCTCAACCTTTCAAACTCCATAGCCACTTCCTTCATCGTAGGCCTATCTGCGCCGTTCAAGTGAACGCATCCCCTTGCAAGCCCTGCAACTCTCTCCACTTGCTCTAATGCCGCTTCCTTCAAAACGCGACGATCCAGAATCTTGAACAATTGATTCTTATCCATGGATCTCACCACATAAGCTGCCAAATTCCTCTCCTCCTCGCTTCTTTCTCTTGAAACCGGTTTCATTCCGGTCAAAAGCTCACAAATTACAACTCCAAAACTATACACGTCACTCTTTTCGGTCAATTGACCCGTCTGGAAGTATTCCGGGTCCAAATACCCGAACGTCCCTTGCACCAAAGTGGCTAAGTGGGTTTGGTCCAAAGGGATTAATCTGGACGCGCCAAAATCTGAAACTTTCGCTATATATTTATCATCTAGTAATATATTTGCTGATTTTACATCTCGATGGAATATAGGTATTGCTGCCGATGAATGGAGGTAGGCGAGTGCACTCGCAGTTTCTGCCGCTATTCTTAATCGGATTTCCCATGAAAGCCAATCAGAACTGCCGCCGAGTTTGTGGATGTGCTCGTAGAGAGTGCCGTGGGAGACGTATTCATAGACCAACATCGGAACTTCAACCTCGAGACAACAACCTATGAGTTTGACAACATTACGATGGTTGACCTGAGTGAGGATGACTACCTCATTGATGAATTCTTCGATTTTGCTCTCGTCCATAGTTTTGGATTTCTTGATGGCGACTACGCGATTGTCGGGTAGGATGCCTTTGTAAACGATGCCGTTTCCCCCACGGCCGAGTTCACGGTCACTTGAGTAGTCGTTGGTGGCTCTTTTCAACTCCTCAGCGGTGAAGATTTTCGCCGCATCTACTCCGGCTCCGTCTACTGTGGTTGTTATTCTCTGATTCAAGATTAAACCACCATTTTGTTGAAAGAATTTCTCTCGTAGTCGGATTAGTCTTGTTTTCTTAACGAAGAAGTATAGCCATGTTACTCCAGCAACCAACGATAAAAAACCGATCCCCAGACCTGTGCATTTTATGACAAATTTTATATTGGGTGTCTAGTGAGACAAAATAAAAATAAAATGTCAAAGTTACTCATTTAAAGTTTTAGATATACCATTTCTAAACAATTTGTCATTTGTATTTAAAGTGATAGATATGTGTCGTCAAAGTTATTCATCCCTCATTTATACAAATTTCAATTACATGGTTTTACTTTCTTATTCTACAATTAAGTCACATTTGGCTGAATTTTATGAAATGAGTTTAGTATAATCTAACAGAAAAGCAGTCACCACCTACATATTTTATCAAATAGATTATCATTGTTTTATTTTGAATATAATACTCCGTGTATTTCTTATAACATTTATGAATACTTTTCCATGTTATAGAATTGAATTCCAGTATTTACTACGAGTACAATTTCTGACTATCAAATTGTTAAATATATGTATATTTGTTCTTTTTTCAAACAGAAATAGCCTCGTCCACTAAATAATCAAATAAATTAAGATTGTAAGCATGGAAGGTTACATAATTACATCGACATAATCAAATCAGCATATGGTTTGGTAACTAAATAGTGTCACCGAGTCTTAATTAACAATAGATCAATTAGCCGCCCAACCTAATCTTTTCACTAGATTTGCATGGAAGTATCAATTTACTATTTAGTTGAACATGTCATGTCTCTTGATTATGGCTTATGGGGAAATAAGGAAATTTTACATTTGACTCAAAACTAATCGTGTTATATGAGTTACATTCTTGCGTAATATCCGCTCATTCGACCAAGTCTTACATGCAATTTAGAGTTCTCTTGGAGCACTAAATTAAACGTTAGGTAGACTTCAATCTCCATGAGCTGTTGGAGTTGCTCTAGACAACATCATCTTAATACCATTTACTTTTGTGTGTCTACCTTACTGTGGAATACAATCCAAATTTTAATTGGACTGCAATTTCCTGGTTTGATCTGTGTCTACTTTTGTCTAATTGGAACGGGTTTGATCGGGTAGATGTCTTTTCTATGTGTATGGTACAACGGTCCAAGTATGATCGGATCTGGTCTGTTTAAGTTTGATTTAGTCCGATCTTGACTGTAAATTAGAAAACATCCTAAGTTCTCATGCATAGGCTATTTCGATATCCATGAACTCTTGTTGGAATTGTGTTATAGGTCACTTCATTCCAATATAATTCATTCGCCTCTTGTAACTTTATCATATTTCATTTCTTGATTGTGCCAAAACTTTGTAATTTTAACTTTTTAATCGATTAATTTATGATTTCTGTTAACTTGTGATTTTTATATGTATATATCATTGACTTTTTTTTTTTGCTTCGTCCTCTTATATAAAATCTAAAATTAGATAGGAGTCACTCAATCAAATCACGAGAGATTTGAGTCAAATACCTTGTTTGGTGCTCTTTTTTTACTAAAGGATGTTTGGGGTTCTCTTTTACATAAGCAAATTGATTCATTTCATTACATTAGCAATAATAAGCTGAACACAGTGGAGAATATAATTGAAGTCTAAAGTCCTTATGGGAAGCATATGTAGTAGATGCTTATTATTCGAGGCCTTAGCAATTAGCATGTTTTTATGTTTATGTTATGATTTATCTGATCTGATGTAATCTGCTTTGGTCTAATTAGTACAGAGTATGTTTTTACTTGCATTAAAATTTTATGTTATGAGTTGTCTGATCTGATCTAATCTGGTTTGATCTAATACTTCTCTAGATTCTGTATATTGTACAATTGCAGAAGTCTAATCTAACCTAATATGATCTGATCTGTGATTGAAATATGTCTAATTAAATACATCGTTAATCATAACTTTTAGTGTTCTTAATCATAAGTTTTAAACAGAAAAAGAAAACTATCAAATAAGTCCCCGAACTTTCATAAAAAGAGCAAATCACCCCTATAAAGGAGGTTCTGTCTGGCCGTCGTCATTTGGGGAGGTTACCGGTGGAATTTTTTGATGAATTTTTTTGAGCATCTTATTAATTAAGTCTAGTTTACTCATACCAAATTTCAGCTAAAACTTCAATCGGGAAAGCAATCAAATAAATTTTTAAAGATAACTGCGCAGTTAAACAACCCAGTATATTTCAGAAAATCATTTGACTACCTTCCGGGTTTAATTTTTAGCTACAATTTGGTATGGATAAACTAGATTTAATTAAAAAGATTCTCAAAAAGTTTCATAAAAAAATCGACCGGAAACCGCTCCAAATAACGATGGCCGAACATAACCTCCTTTATAAGGGAGTGACTTCCACTTTTTATATAAGTTCGATGACTTATTTGATAGTTTTCTCAAGTATCATATGTAAATAGGGGCCGTGAACATGAAAACTTACCCACAGAAAACTTGATCCAGGGGAATTCTGACCCAGTTGCTACACAACCCTGCCCATTTTTCTTACCATCGCCGGTGTACCCATGTGGACAAGAGCAAGTATAGCTTCCCGGCGGCGTGTTTGTGCAAATCTTTTCACATGGATTCTCATTTGGATCTTTACACTCATCAATATCTACCAAAAGAACTCAACCATTATTACTCCCTTGCTCTGAGTATTGTAGTTAATTAAGAAGTGACCATATCTAACTAAAGTTTGAGTTGATTAAATGGAAGAATATTATTCAAAATTTGCTTCTAAAAAGCCTACCCCAATATTATTTTGGAATTTGGATATAAGTCATATAACTCAAAGAAAAATGTGAACATAATTCCAGTACTAGTGGATTCGTACTTCCGTATGCATTTCTTTGTTCTATTTACGTTTTGGTAACTTTAATTTCTTACGCGGGTGTTGATGGTATTTTTGTATGAATAATCCAATGTATTTCGTATATACTATCGTATGTAACTATTTTGAGTCAAATGCATAAATGACACATTAAGTATTGGTGATGTTGCATTTTGGTACCTTAACTCTTAAATTAATCAAAACAGTACCTTAACTATACATAAATATTTTGAATTGAAATTTTATTCAAATTTCTGACAAAAAAAATCACATGTGGCGGTCAGAATTCTATGCGTAAAGTCTATTTCACCTTATTTTTGTCCATATGGTCACTATAGGATGACTCTATACATAAAATTTTGATCGCCATGAAAAGTTTTTTGGTCGAAAAAAGAATGTATGCATCACAGCTACTGCCTTTTCTTTAATTTTTAAGATCTTTTCACTCTCTAAAAGCTAACAATTAATTAAAAAAATTCATTAAAGAATGTTTTTTTTTCAGAAAAGAATGTCTATCATGTAGTTGATGGGTCTAAATCATTATTTTTCGAATGCATTTTTTTACACTTACATTATTCAATTGTAAAAAGCTAATTGATACATGCGGACAATATAGAAAACAATTTGATTACCAAATCAAAAGGATGTAATTTAATACGTAGTATTCATCACTCATGATATGCTCGATTACGTCCCACCCAAATCTGATATAAAAAAAGATAGACAAAAAGTTTACTCGTATATTATCATTATTTGAAAATAACTTTAAATCACAGTAAAAAAAACTTTAAATCGATTCAGCCCAATGTAACCTCGTGTTTACGCTACTCGATAAAACCCACACTGATACGAGTAAAATGTCTATATACAAAAGTATTGGTTAGATAACGAGAATCTAGCTACATTTTATACACATATATGCCTAACAAGTTGAAACAATCAGATAATTAACTAAAGACAATTAAATACTAGTATCTAAATAGGCAATAAAACATGCTATATATTCATAATTGAAATTGAAGGTTTCTAAGCTAAGGAGTGCAATATAATTAATAAATATGGTAGCATATATATACCTTGGCAGCCGTTAGAGATATAAGGATTGCCCATATAACCATTGTCACACCTACAACGGTAACCTCCGGAATCATTGTCAACGTCAACGCATTGACTTTTCTCCTTGCACGCATAATCATCTTTCTTCCTTGCGCCTTCACAACTCAAATTCCCTATAGCCCAATCTAGTACCACCGGAACACTTTCCATCACCCTCCGTCTAAAATTCAGGTCTTTAAGGTCATCTGAGCCCCGGAAATCAAACCGACCGGCTTCCCCTATAAACGCGTTCCCACAGGGATTATCAGACCAGACCCGAGCATGGCCGTACACCGAGGCCATACCAGTTACGTTGATAATCCTCAATCCTTTCATGATCGGGATTTGGCAGCAACCGGCGGAACCTATACACCTCCCGCCGGTCACATCCTGTGGCTTGTCGCATGTAGCGGCACACCCATTACCGATGTTCTTCCCGTTTCTGAGGCTGTTTCCGATAAAGACACCGCCGTCGTCGCACCCTACAACGGTGAACTGGTTTTTGTCCGAGAAAGTGTACGGGCTGGAACTGCCGAGGTTGATCCAAGCCGGGTTTTGCGCGAGCAAGCCCCCCGTCGGGGTGTAGCATCTCGTAAAAACGGAGTTGGAGATCCAGACTTGGGAGTCGGAGATGTCGTAGACATGGAGGTTCCATATAAGAGGCATTGGGGGATTGTTCGATGTGTTGCAGTTGATTTCCAGGCTCGGGTTGAGAGCGCAACCCGAGCCTAAACCTACTCCGAATGGGTATGGAACCGTCAGGTTTCCACACTTTCGTGGGCATCCCGGTTTCGTGATGGTGGTGCCTTTGGTGATTGTAGTGGTTGTGGCCTTAGAAGGTGGAGTTTGGGCTATGGTTGGTGGTGAAAGAAGCAATAGGAGGAGGATAAAGGAGGCAAGTTGAAGGGAAACAGCCAACTTGCATATTGGCTGCATGATAGTGTTTTGACTTTTGAATGGAAGAGTGGTAGGAAGTAGTGCCTCTCTCATAGTGTTTGGATGAAAATGTGTATTATTAATAATAATAAATTAATAATTATTATTGCTTTGTTATTTTTGGTATATATATAGCTGTCTACCTTACTTTGACTATCAAGGTCGTTGATATCCGCAAGTGGCTGTTATTTTAGTTCACACACTAAGAAGTCAGAATAATATAATGCATGTACGTACCACTATAGTGGCGTTCAATAATCTAAACGAATTTGTTTCCTTTTGTAATTAAATTCAGACTATACTACTAGAGACAGAGGCGGACCGTAATATAGAGACCCACGGGCAGTCGTTCCTCCAACAATTTTTTTTAGTGTATATATATACCAAAAAATAATTTTCGCCCTCCCAATTTTTTTTTTTTAAGTCACCGCCTTCCCAAGATAAACTTCTTGGGTCCCACCGATAATGTCAACTGTGTACAAACGCTGAAACAAGATTTTCCAATTGCAGGGTAGGGATAAAATTAAAGCAATTCGAACTAACACAAACCCTCTCCATTCTTTCAAATGTTAATCTTTGACTAGTGGTGTATTTACCATAGACCACGAATTTCATCAAATTTACCCGATTTAACAAGTTACGGTGATATCTCAAAATGCTTACATTCATTTATATGTCAGTATGTCATTAATTCTCTTTTGTTGATACTGTAACTAAAACTAATTTTAGTACTCCCTTCATCCTCCAATTAAGTTTCCAATCAGACTTTTACGATCTTCTAGGTGGATGTTTGACCCTAAATATATATCTAAAAATCCATACTTCTAAAACCTAATAGTATAAATTAATATTTGAATTATAGTTGTTCCAATGGAGTATATATACAATTAATTTTGTATGATAAAACAATGTAAATTGTGATTGATTAACCGTCATAGTTTGTAAAATTTGACTTAAAAAGTACATATGGGAATATAATTGTGGGACAGAGGAAGTGGTATATTACAAAACTAAGAAAATTGTGTATCATTCAAGGTGTTTTCTTTTAGACTAAAATTTACTGGTTTGGTAGTTTAAGGTCTATTTATTTGAGACTTAAAAAAAGGGTATGTTTATTTGAGTCTGGTCTGATACGATCTGGTCTGGTACATGTAAGATCTTGTGTATTTTATAACTATTGAAGTTTGGTCTGATCTAGTTTAGTCCATTTAAGTTTGGTCTGATCTTGTCTTGTCTGAGACTGAAAACAGTCCAAAAGAAAGCATCTTGAATGAACAAAAATGAATGCGTATGAATATGAAATGAATAAAATTAAGTTACATTTAAAAAATACATACTACATCGGTCTCAAAATACTTAGCCAACTCCTAAAATTTGGACCTTGATTTTGATTAATACTACCTTCGTCCCAATAAATTCTTCCAAGTCAAGCTTGGCTCGCAAATTAAGGAAGTGGGAATAAAGTGGAAATGTATGGTTGTAGTTGTGTAAGAAAAAAGTGAATGAATGTGAACCACACAACTTTTTTAAAAGTGGAAGTTGGAAGAATTTTCTGGGACGACCCAAAAATGAAAGTTGGAAGAATTTAATGGGACGGAGGGAATAAAATTTTGTAAATTATAAATTTCATACTTTTATGAAAGTACTTTTAGCAAAGAACATTTTCATATTATTTTTACATTATAAATAACTTCCAATCAAAATTTTAAAGATGATTAAGTATTTTGAGACAGAATTAAATTTTGATTTGTTCACAATTTGATTTTCGTACGCTTATGATCGTATATGCTTGAAATTCAGTCAATTATTACGTATTAGTTTGAAACTTGAAACTTGAAAGGGGACATGAGAGCCCGTTTCCCCGTTGTCATACCGTGTTGGCTAGGCTAGGGATTTGCATGGGTTTTGATTTGTGAACCGTTAAATCACAGATAGTAAGACAATTATTTAAATTTGATTGAATGAATACGAACATGAAAAAGTGGGAGTCTTAAAGATGACTTTGTGTATTGAATTAATGAAAAAAATGCATTTATGAACCGACGACGAAGAAAATAATGAAGAATGGGTCAAAAGTTGAATGATCGTAAGATCCTTTAACCACTCGTGGTTCAAAACCAATTTTATCCACCTCTCAAAAAGGGGATGTTCATCCTCTCGATTGTCTACCATGTAGCAAGGTAATAATAGTCGGGATAAATTTATGTACTTTTACATGGTAACATGTTTCATTATTTCACATGGTATCAAAAGTACAAGTAAAAATCTAAATTTTTATCACATTCTTTATTAGTTGACAATTGTTTTATCCTTTTCACTTTTAATCTAATTATTTTTTATTATATTATAAAATATTTATTTTTGCAATCGTTCATATATGTGGTGCTAATATTGCATATGAAATTTAAAAAAAAAAAATCTAAAAATAGATATGTAGAAAAAATAAGTTTTTCCATTTTATATACAATATAGATAGCATTGAAAAGATTGTAAAAATTTAATAAATCTGATATATGTTTTTTAAAAATAGGACAATAAGTAAAAATACTAATAAAGTTGTAACACTTTAAAGAAAAAGAGGAGAAGAGATGCCACGTTGCCACATAGCAACAAGAGAGGGTAGGGGTGATGTTCAGCCTCCTTGGAGGGTTGAGCAAAACTGCACCCGTGTTGTTAAACTGGCACAACAAATTTAGGGATTACTTGTAAGAAATTAATAAAATAACATCTTAATTCTAGACTGAACTTTTTAATTATAGACTATGAACTTTAAAGGAAAAATTCACATGAATAATCTCAACTATTAGTAGTCTTCCAATATTAATCCCAACTATCCATAATCCTAGAATAATCTGAAATTTATTGACAACCTTCCATAGTTGATCCTAGTTACCTACAACTTAGACAACCAGTAAAAAAATTAAAAGAAAAATAAATGGGCACCAGGCTATTCATCTTCACTTGCTCTATTTTCTCCAGGTTCCTTGCTTCCTTCTTTCGTGTCTTGGCCTTCAATTTTTCTTTCTTTTCTTCCTCCACCCACATGGATTTCTACTCACCTTCGATTTCATTCTCAAATTTGCTCCTCAAATTTGTATGTCACTCTTTCAATTTCACATTTTAATGATTTGATTTGGTCAATCAAAATCTAATTTGACACGATGCAATATTCATCACGTTCGATGACCAGCCCAGAATGACGGAAGGTTAAAGATGGAGATTATGCCAGTTGATATGAACAGGCACGTGGTGGCGATGAACAGATGGGAACGACGGAGGGCTGATGTGTGGTGATGAACTGATAAGATGGAAGGACACTGAAGATGCATGGGACAGACGACTGAAGGTTGCTTATCTTACCTGGGTGGCGACGCTGGAACAGGGACAGGTCGACCGTCGACGTCTCCACTCACATGGTTCACCGGAACACTCGGACGCCCGGAAAGGAAAGGAAGATGAAAGAAAAATTGAAATGAAAAGGAAAAAAATAAAAAATAAAAAGAAAAGAAAACCAATAGAAATAGGCCATGTGTCCGATTTACCCGCTGAATGGGTTTATGTAGGTCATCGGTTCATTCTGAGAAGATGCCTATTATAATTCAGATTATTTTAGAATTATACATATTTGGGATTAATATTGGAAGATGGTTAATAGTTGAGATTATTCATATGAATTTTTCCAACTTTAAATGTGATTGAGCAAGGCCATGAACTCATATTGTTTATTATAATATTGAAAAGAGCTGAAAGTATGTGGAGTAGTGCTTCACTTTTTCTATTGCACAAAACTCGTTTTTTATTATAGACTATGAACTTTCATTTTTCAAAAACATTTTTTCTCCAATATTTCCAACTTAGATCCTGTTTGTTGACCCATTTTTATTAGCCAACGTTTTCGTTAAACACATAACTGATACACGTGTAATTTCCGTGTATATGTTTACATTTTTAGTTTGTTTTGGTTGTTTAAATACTTCGGAAATTACACACTTTCGGTGTAATAGTTTAGTTTGTTAAAATCTTGTAAATTATTTAGATTAGGTTTATTCTGAGCTCAAACATGTCTACCATCACTCAAAGGACAGATGGTGAACCCCAAAAGTGGAAGGAAGGTGCAAAATCACAAGACAAAAAGGGAAAATCCTGATTTTGATCTATACTCGGTCGAGTATTACCTATACTCGATCGGGTATAAGGTTGAAACTTCAAATCGGATCGGATCCGAAGACAAAGGAACATGCCGGGAAGATTTTGACCACGATTCAGTGTCTATACTCGATCGGGTAGACCGACATACCCGATCGAGTATGCGTTTGAGTTTAAACCCGAAATCGGTCGAGTATGGCTCGAATATCACTTTCTACACATACTCGACCGAGTATGAATATATACTCGATCGAGTACACCTTTGATTTTTAAGCCAAAATCGATCGAGTATACCTCGAATATGATATTTCACACATACTCGATCGGGTACTATGTATATACCCGATCAAGTACCCGAGTCTCATCCCAAAAGCCTATAAATACACCCCCTTTCCTTCACAATTCATTCACCAATTCCTTTATACTCTTAAGCTCAGTTTAGAATAGCATTTCTTTATATTTCTTTTAGCATGTTTAGTCTCCAAATGAGGAGCTAAACTTCCATTTCTTGGTTTTGCTCTTGAAGCTTGTTGATTATTAAAGTTGTGAGTTATTTTCTTACTTTCTCCTCTTGATTATTAATTCTTCCCTTAATCTCATTCTATATTAATGTTGGAGGGTTGCTAAGTGACGATTAGTTAACGTTCCGACATTAATTATTACTAGAAACGATCAACGAACCGATGGTTAATTGTTGGTGGTTTCACAAGTAAGTAACTTCGGTTTATTAATGCACAATCGTTGGTGGCGAAGATTGACAAAGGCAAGCCGCAACACCACGCGTGAAGCGACGCTCATCCACTGCTAGCAGGTTCGTTACGGTGTATGTATTTGTTCAACTTGCCATTATTTTATTCTTTTAGTTATTTAATTTTGGATTATTAGAATTTTGGGTTGCCATCAAGTATCTTGCTTGTGGTCTGA